AAAATCAAAGAAAAAAAAATAAGATTAATTTAACCTGTATTGTCTCAAAGTATCATTTTTATTTAGAGGAAAGGAAATGTTTCAACATATTAGCATTAAATGCAGGCAGCAGGCAAAGCTCCTATAAATATATTCTTCCTTTGAAGAAGATGAAAAAGAGGGAGATTATGCAGGATTGTATATTAGTATAAGCATGTGCACGAGTTTTAAGCAGATGAGAGATTGTCATTGATTACATTTCCCAATAATCACAGAATCACAGAATAGTTTGGGTTGAGAGAAGCAAAATCTAGTTCCAGCCCCATGGGCAGGGACACAGTCCACTGGACAAGTCTGCTCAAAGCTCCATCCAACCTGGCCTTGAACACATCTGGGAAAGGAGCATCCACTCCCAACCCTCTTTCATTTTAAGGCCATTCCCCCCTTGTTCTATCATTACATGCTCTTGTAAAAAATCACCCTGACATTCTTTCCGTAACTTTAGAGATTTTCCTGATGGTACATCAAGGTGTTGGGACATTGCACAATATCCAAGTATAGTTTTTGTGTTTCCCCCTTTAGCTGGGTTCATTCCCATGATACCTATGAATGCTGTAAAATCTCATGCTAGGAAAGCTGCATTGGAGAAGTCATTAAAAGTAAAATAATCCCTTGTGATGATTTATGATGCCTCTTTTTCTATCATTATTATTCTTTCAACCACTTATTAATCTCCCAGCTGGCATTAGAAATGTTTAGGAATGCCAACCCCACCTCCATCAGTAACACAAGCAATACAGAGTTTCTGACCAAACTTGAGCAGGCTAAGGCAGCCCAGCGTTGGCCTTCCTCTGTGAGGTGGGGAACTTGGACTGGCACACCTTGCATGAGTTATGTAAGTTTGGGGTAGTTGCTTTACTGGCCTTCAGTTACTTGTTTTACGTGTTACTGTTTTAGTGACATTGGATAATACATAAGTGTAATCTGTTACACGCATGAGTTCTGGGGTCATCTTTTTTTGTGTGTTTTGCATGAAGGGGCCCTGTTGACATGGTGCCTGTCAAATAAAAAATCTTTTGCCAGTTAACATGCACAAAAGTTTTGTGTAATATCAGAGGTTTCATCAGTGGTACTAGGTGAAATGTCTGAAGTGGAAGAATTAGTTGTTTGAAATTTCATTTGAAATTAAGTGTTCAAAAGTGACCAATGCAAAAGTTGCTGAGATTATTTGAAATCTCAGACTAGAGTTAATGAGGGAGATTGTTATGCACAAGGATAAAAATCTGAGACATATTTCTAAAGGGTGAATAAAATTATCATCATGGCTGAAGAGAGGCTTAACATTTTGGGTGATAATACATAAGATATTACCTTAGGAAAAAAATAAACAAAGAGGTAAATGTACATTAGAAACTTCTGTCTTTTAGTAAGTCATAGAGAAGTTTGGAATTATACTGCCCATTATTCCATCTCACATCTGAATATTTTCTGGTGCTTTACAGAAAGATTCAGAGTGAAAATTGAGAGCCCATTAAATTAATTGAAATATCGTTATTTAATTCAACCTGTTTTCCTACTTTTGACTCTAAAAGATAAAGAGGAAAATAGCTACAGAAGTCTGGGAAAGTCTTCTTAAAGTACAGAAATACCACAGAGACTTTAGCTACATTCACATGGAATATAAAAGGAAGTTCAGGATAGTATTTTTCTATCTTGGTTTAAACAGGGCAAATGCCACCTGAAGCATATTAAAAGTATAAAAGTATGGCACAGAGAAAAATCATAATATATTTAACTTGTCATTTTTTCCAGGGTATGTTTAGATAAAAAAATAAAGCAGTTTTAACATACTCAGAAGTGACTCTCAACCATTGCAAACTTTTCTTAGGACTCTGATTTCATTCCAAGGGTTTATTTTGATTTCTTACACATGGTCCTAACAAGTTAAACTGCACTGAAATAATGTGCCTGCCTGCCTTCCCTACCTCCTAGGGAAACACAGCCAGGAAGGGCAATGGACACATTCTTACCTTCCCTATTTCCAGCTGAGGAGTTAGGGATAGGGTTTTGGTGGCAGTTGAGGATGTGAAGAGCAAAGTGTGAAAAAAACACCACCAGCCTAGGAGGATTCTCTTCCCTTCAGTTGTTTTTCAAACAGGTTCCAGTGCATTTTCTGCTCCCCTTTTTCCTACACCTTTCTTCCCCTTAGGGAGAACCTCATCCCTGCCCTCCAGACAGAAGGGCATACACAAGTAGATTACTCCTTTGGACCAATGCTTTTAAAAATGGAAAAGACAACTATGCTACTGTTGGCTTCTTCCTCTCTTGTGTTCAGAGGGGACCAGAGACCCTCAGTGGGGCAGAGGGCTCCCAGCAGTGCAGGGCAGAGGCTGTGCTCTACTGGCAAGACTGAATTAATTTGAATTTTTTGCAGTCTGGAGCCTTCACAAAACTCTGTGTTATAAAAAAAAAGCCTGTCAGAGCTCTGGAATAAGTAGGAATAAGGGCAGGTGCAAGTTACTGAATTTTTTAAAACATTATTCTATTAGAAGTGGTGGAGGGTGACCAAAACCCCCAGTAAGCATTTTAATAATTTCTGGACCAAATGCATAATTCCCAATATTTTGGGTGGCTTTATTCTTTTTTAAGTTCTAAGAATGATTTTTTAGGGGCATACACTGCTCTTCTAATGATCTCTAACTTGCTGCTAGCCAGTCACCACTAAATAAAAATGTCTGTTCCATTGCTACTCTGCTCGGAGGCACAGGGACAAGTCAAGATCATCCTGCCACCGTGTTAGTCACCAGGGACACTTTTTTTCCAGCACAGTCCATATTGCTCAAGACATTCCAGTACCTTCTATGTTAGCCTTGGACCCAAATAAGCACAACTAAATATAGAAAGAAGTTTGCTTTAGGTGGGTACATGTGTGCTACGTGTCTATGCTGGCAGTATAGTCAATCAGGATCTAGGGTTTAGTTCAGCAGAGTACAGAGAGGTGCCTGTCCCCTGTTACACGATATTCCCTGCTCCCCAGTCACTTCTCCTGAAGAGTACAGCTTTTCCAGGTCCAAGAACATAGCTGCCAGATCTAGGGGATATCTCAGATACCTTAAGGCATCTCAAATGGCACTGGACAAATAAATGTGGGCAGCTGAATTAAGCCTTCCTTGTGCCAAGCCCAAAGTGTGAGGCAGCTGAGCAGCCAGCAGAAGCCTTCCTGAGGATTAGCTGCACCTCTCTCAGCTGGCATGATTACTTTGTGCTGCTTGGGGAGTTTAGACACCTGCTTCACATGTAGACACCTAAATTTAAATATCTTCATGTGGAGCTCAACCAAAGTCCATCTATTTTTCTGGTCTCCATTAGAATTTGTGACGTCCTAACTTTTCCTAGTCAGTTTTCCTATTTCTCAATTCTCACCCAGACCTCCTGCATCTGGTTATTGTGAGCTTGAGATTTGTATTGTTCAAAGACACCATGTCCACTTCTGGCTCTTCTTCATCTCTGAACTTGCTGGATGTAGAAGCAAATCCAGCATTTTTCATACCCGATTATGTAGCAGCCACCTATGATTCACCTATGTAGTAGCCAAAGACATTTTTAAATGTCAGAACATAAAACAGGCAGAAGGTTAGTCTAGGCCAACATGGGATGTCAAACAGTGACACCAGCCAACAGTGAACAGCCAGGGAGGATTGCGCAACCAGGGCAAACACACAGTGATATTTCTCTACAAGAGTTTCTCAGCCCCCAACATCTGCTACTTGAAGACACCCTGAGCCAGAAGTGGGTTTTTGGTATTAATTAGCCCAGGATTAAATCTTCTCCCCTAAGACCATCCAGCTAGTTTTAAACCTACGTAGATTTCTATCCCCTTGTGTCAAAAGTTCCACAATTTATCAGGACAATTCTTAAACCACAGAAACAGATTGTCTGTACCCTTGGAATTGTATTGAATCATTTTCTGGGCCATTCTTGTAGGAGCTATGCCAGGGACAAGACGTGTGTTTCTACCCAACACAAAAGAAGTAAAACTCATATCAACAAGAACCTGCTTTCAACTATTCACCAACAAACATGGATTTAGATTATCCTTGCATAGAAACATACAAACAGCACAAAACCATAAAATTAAAATCAGGTATTTCTTAGAAGAGCTCTTTAAGCTTTTAAAATTTGCCAGGGAATTAATCATGAGGTGAGGAAGAACAGAGCATGTTCTGTGCTTTTCTACTCCATGCATAACAGCATATCTACCCCAATCCTTGTAAAGGGACATTATGCCTTCTCATAGCATCCGTGTGCCATCACTCTGCTGCTTCTCCCCTTAAAAGCTGTTCTGGCTCTAAGGACAGCTGGCCGATTAGTTCCTGCACACCAAAGTCACTCTCACTGTTTGAATCTGTGTCTTGAAGAAATAAATCCTAACACTTGCTGAGCTTCAACTAACTTTCCAGGCTTCCAGCTAAAGGAATGCTTCTGAATACCCAGTGCTGTATTTCCTCCCTTCCAGGAAATGGTACATCCGGGCAGTTGTGTCCAGAAACTACATTCCTCAAACACACAGTGTCTGTTCTCATAGGAAATTACTACTGTGCTTGACTCTCACCTCTGGGCCTGCCCCATTTTTTTTTCTTACCTTAGTTTTCTTTTTTGTCTTTGCACAGAAAAGTTTTTATGGAAAGATAGATAAAAGGGAAAAGTTCTAATCCATCTACTGATTTGTACATTTTGCTACATCAGGTTTCAATGCCCCTACATGAGGTTTCTTCAACATTGCTCCTTTTATCCATATGCTTTGAAACTTGTGACCCTGACTTTTCACCCTGGAGAATCCCAAGGTAGTTTTTGACACCAGCTCTGATCTCACATCCCTATTTCAAACAGGAATCTCTGTGTTTTGGATTCTCACCCACTACAGGAGTCTCTCTTTTGTCCTTCTCATTCAGCTCATGTAGATGTATGTACTATTTCCTGATACTTGGACATTAATGCTTTCTGTAATGTATTTCTTTCAGACATCATTGTTCTCATCGCTTCAATAGCAGTTGTTTCTGCAAAAACTCAAGGTAACATTTTTGCAACATCAGCACTGAGAAGTCTTCGTTTCCTACAGATCCTTCGTATGGTGCGCATGGACCGAAGAGGAGGCACTTGGAAATTATTAGGTTCTGTAGTTTATGCACATAGCAAGGTATGTAATCCTAGATACTAATTTTGTCTGGTTGATATCTTCCCTTGATGTGATTCAACAAGAGACCAAGGAAATAAGCATTTATCAGTTTTGAGCAAAATACCCAAAATTTTCTAAACTAACATTAATTGTAATATGAACTAGCACAGGTATATCAGGCCATGTTTAATGCTATCAGTTTCTAGAGATTTTAAAAATGTTGTCATTGATGGGCAGCTGTAATTTGTTATATCTTGGGGATGTTGCTGAAGCATCAAACCATAAGAGTGGATCTTGTCCACTTTCAGAGAAAATTTGCATCCATAGGGAAGCACTTGACTCATAACTGCGCAGATGCCAAAAAAAGCATTTATATAGATATTTTCATGATGTCTTCTTGAAATGTCATTCTATTCATTCCACAAAACGGGAATTGATTTCTGTTCTTTTTTATCTAGGAATTAATCACAGCCTGGTACATAGGATTTTTAGTACTCATCTTTTCATCTTTCCTGGTTTATTTGGTGGAAAAAGATGCAAATACCGAATTCTCCACATATGCAGATGCTCTCTGGTGGGGCACAGTAAGTACAGAAAAATAACATGGACTCTCTAACCAATGTGCTAAAGTGCTTTGAATTTCCCCTACTGAGGATTTTAGTTTAGTGTGCTGTTCAATGAATTGTTTTCACTGACAAAAAAATGGTCTGAGAAGCTTCCTCCTTCAGCTATTCATTTGCACATCGACAGATTATTTCAGTCCATCCTGCAGAACAGCTGTTTATGTGTTTCTGCTGCAAACCAGACCACTAAACCTTCAAGAGAAGAAAGCATTGTACTTTTTAACCCTTAGCCTTTCAGTAATATAGTTTGTAATATGGCCCCACAAAGAGCTGTTTTGATACAAACCAGAGAGTTCTAAGTGGCAGTGCAGGAAGAGGAAAAAGTGTCAGGAAAAAAGAGGGGAAAAATCTTACATCACCTTTGGCACGAGAATATCATCAGTGCCCTTTAAAAGATGTTGTTTCTCCTTCCTCTGTACCTTGAGGACAAAGACCAAGAATAAATATGTCAATTCTGCTTCAGCAGTGTTATTTTTTACAGGTATACTTGAGATCATGGTTAACTATCAAATCAATTGTTTTTACTTTGTTGAAATCTGTGGGATCTAAGTACATACATGACTGCTTTTCTTAAAGAGGATTATACAAATATGGTTAAAGAAACCAGGCTTTCAATGAACAAAAAAGGCCTAAGTTTGAAGTTTTGATTATCTTTTTTTAATGGCATTATGTGTAAGGGGTTTTGCTTAAAAATGTCCTATAGTGATCCAGACTTCTTCATCGTGTGAGAGTTACTTAGGCAGTTTAAGAAATCTGCCCCACCAAAGCCTAAGGCAGTTATTGTCAGGCAGGATAAAACTGTTTTTCTTTTCCTTCTGATGCAGCAGAACACACACAGTGTGCTCTGGCAGTGTCTGGGTAGTGAAATGATACCTGGGAGATCATTAATGCTGACAATAACATAGAGCACTCATTAGTTTCCTTGGAATAACTGTGAGACCTGAGCCAGCCTCTGCCACCTTTCCTTATCAGAGGGATGCAAAAAATGAAGCTTTCTCACCTCAGACCTTTTGCTGACAGGATTTCATCTAGATTTAGTAGTATCTGCAGACTCAGAGCATGCACACAGGACTGCACAAAAGCCCTTTCCAGAATGTCATAAAATATTGAAAATATTCATAAGAAGTTTAGTCTGCATTTTGAGCTAAGATCAAGGTCACTCACTATTATTAGGGGTAGTTAGTGTATTTGAAATTTGTTCATCTAAGGGTTAGTCATTTGTTGCATGTCTTCCCTAGAGACTATATTTCTATGTTATCGCTGCACAAAATTGGGAGCTTGGAAAAGCCAGACCTACTAAATATTATGTATACTACAGTGCGCTCTGGCAGTGTCTGGGTAGTGAAATGATACCTGGGAGATCATTAATGCTGACAATAACATAGAGCACTCATTAGTTTCCTTGGAATAACTGTGAGACCTGAGCCAGCCTCTGCCACCTTTCCTTATCAGAGGGATGCAAAAAATGAAGCTTTCTCACCTCAGACCTTTTGCTGACAGGATTTCATCTAGATTTAGTAGTATCTGCAGACTCAGAGCATGCACACAGGACTGCACAAAAGCCCTTTCCAGAATGTCATAAAATATTGAAAATATTCATAAGAAGTTTAGTCTGCATTTTGAGCTAAGATCAAGGTCACTCACTATTATTAGGGGTAGTTAGTGTATTTGAAATTTGTTCATCTAAGGGTTAGTCATTTGTTGCATGTCTTCCCTAGAGACTATATTTCTATGTTATCGCTGCACAAAATTGGGAGCTTGGAAAAGCCAGACCTACTAAATATTATGTATACATTTACAAATATTCAGAAATATATTTTGCTGACACTTGTTGCTTTAGAGCAATCAAGGCAGATCACTGAAAAATATACATTTTATCCTGTAGTACAAACACACATAAAATTCATATTGGCTAAAGTCACGAGAAAAGGTTTTGCATTCAGTTGCATCACTGTAGTTTATTTTGTTTCCCATTTCTTCAAAAGCAGAGTTCTGAGTTTGCCTTAAAGCTTTCTAACCTCCCTGTATTGATAAGGTTGTGAAGCATCTGGCATTGGATGCTGATGTCCTCACTGATGGGTACCCCAGCTCTGGCAGTCTGAAAACATCATTGCCCCTTTAGGGTGGCAGTGGGGATGTGGTCCTGCAAGAGACCCTCCTGAGGCTGTGCATATGCTTGGGAATGGATCTTTTCAGACATTTGATTTCCCAGGAAACAGCCTCTACGTCTCTGCAAGGCCCTGTGTGCCTTAGCCCTGCACAGGCAGAGAGAGGGTCTGAGCAGAGGATTGTACCCACCTGCCAGCTGGAATGGGGAAATGTATGCACAAGGAATGAGAAAGTCCCAGCAAACTCAGAGCTCTACTCTGACATCTGACTGAGGCTCGTGTTAGATCCAAATCCTTCTCCTTGAGCAGCTCTAGCAGCAGGAACAAGACCTTTATTTTAGAATTTACTTCTCCACTACCTGCTGACTGCAATTTTTTAAGGAAAAACCCTGCTAGGAAATAATCATTGTATAAAGTGGTGCTTAAAATATTTTGTACACTATGAAGTGAAAGTGCATGACTCAGAGGTTATATAAGTAGTGCAACTGAGAAAATCAGGAATCTTGCCTAGATTTCAGCAGGAAAAACAACAAATATTTTTTTAAAACCTGAAAACAATATATATTGTATATTTCTACATATTTTCTTTTTCCCCCAGTGTATGACATTGGTACATTTAAGTTTTTAATGCACTTAAGCAAGTGCACAAACTTACTAGAAATCAGTGTTCCCCCTTACCTGATGTCTTTGCCATTTTAATAATAGTAATTTTTTCTACAATATGTAAAACAGTATGTGGGAAATGCATAATGTGCTTCTTAGTCATGGTTGTTTTTACTGCCAGAGTAACCCACATGCAGATTTTTGAAAAGGACAGACTGGCATTTTAGGGAAAATCAATGCTTAGTCTCATTGATTTGTTTATTTGCAAAAGTTGTTCTGACTTAAACCACAGATTATGTACCAAACTCTGGACTGAATTTTGTCATGGCAGAGGTACAAGAAAGAAAAGACCCCTAAATTTCAATCTTTTAGAGGCACTTATGCTTCTCCTTACAGGAGCAGCACTCGCATGCTGCAATTAACCCATTCATTAATTCAGACTACTTGAGGACCATACAGTGCTATAGTTATTTCACTAATTCCATTTCTGAAGCCCATATTTATATACAGAAATGAAAGACAGGACATGGCATCCAAATTTACATATGAATACTCCACTGCATTTGCAATTTCATGCTGTACTGTGCAACCTGCTATTGAATCATCATGTTAATATTACTGCTGTGAATATTCTTGTGGTTGGGGTCTCCACAGTGGTGCCTAACACAGCAGCACACAATGGTGAGTACTATGTGAAGAGCTCAAGTTCAGAAATTGCTTTGGTAGAGAAGATAAATTCATTTAACAGAAGAAAATAATAAAAACATATGGGAACAAAAGGTCAATTAAAAAACCTAAGTACTTCAAAACCAAACCATACATGGTTTTCTGAGATATACTGATGTTAACTAGAACTGTGGATACTTACAGTGACATTTAGTTTGTACATTAATTAGCTTTAGCTGCAAATGTAATGCAGCTGAAGTTTCTGTCCCTCTTACACATTTGACAGAATTTGTCTTAAAAAGTCTTTATTTTCTAGTAATACCCAATAGTTACAGTTGGATACAGAATGGCTCTGGCACTCCACAGTGACCTGTTAATGAACAAAACATATTACAATGAATTACATTGGCACAATGACTAGCTCAAATAAGTAAACATTGATGATTTTTTTCCCATTTAATGTAGTGATAGCACTGTATTTTTTAAGTTAAGTGATGTCAGGTAACAATTCAAAAGGTAAGTAGTGCTAGGAGAACATAAAATGACACCAGAAAGAAATATTAGGGTAGAGAATGGCCTCCTGAGTCCTATCTCATCTAATTGAAGTCATCTAAGTTATATCATCACATTCATTTTTATATTACCTCATTTGTATTAGCATATTTATTAGCTCCAGCAATGAGATAACAGATGTTCTATAATCATTGTGAGTTTTGAGCCTGGCCAGATGACACTGCCTACTTTGGCTAGTCTGTCCAGACCCCTCACTTACAGAAGTAAGCAAAATGGAGTGGTTTTCATCTGGTGTAAAAGACAGGACTCAGCTCATTTAGCCATGCAGGAGTGTGATTCAGCTGCTTAGACATAGGCATACAGTACCATCAGAGATCTCTTGCACAGTCTGCTGCCTCTCCTGTGGGTGGTCCCTGTTCAGACACCCTAGTACAACTCTAGTGGTACTAGATTTTTTTTTCAGACAAGTCCAAGTCCTACATTTTAGGATAGGATGAGTTACCTTTGAACTTTGGCCACTTCTCTCTTACCCACACAATGCTAGCTGTAACTTCTGTCTGCTTCTTTCATAATTATCAGTGATTCTGGAAATTTCTTATGTTGTTGTGATTTCACATCCAGTAGTTTTCCACACTCTGCTCAGTTAATTTAATCTCAGGATTATGCCAGTCAAGGCCTGGCCAATGGTTTAGTCATTCACTAGCAGCACTTACAAAGATGCAGTGGATTATTCCCAAACTTGACCCTGAAGTTGTCCAGAAAACATTTTCTTAGTTGTGTGGTGAGAGTAGTATAAAACGAAGCTCAAACCCCTTTGCTCGGTGTTGAGTAAGACATTACATCACGGTGCTGACACCTATACACTCTTGTGAAGACCATCCTGAGATAAAATAGCTCAGAGTGAGAAAGAAGCCATTGATATTCTTAATCACACACTGATACCATTAAGTCCTTAGTACCTAGAAGAATTGAGGGAAAGGCTTAATAGGGTCTTGTAATTTTCTTTGGAGAAATTTCAGAGATAAACTCTGTGTGACTGCCCACGGTTTTGGATTGCTCTCAGATGTCAGGTCCCAAAGGTTGGAGTTTATCTCTGACTTCTTTGGAATACAGTTCGGTGGCAATATCATTAATATGCAGATGACACTTGGTTCTGTTTCCCTCTCATCTGCCCAGACAGGAGATATCTCTGTACTTTCCAGCGACTGGCAGAGATAGGAAGCTGGATGGAAGCCAAGAAAGCAGGCTCATTCCAGAGCTCCAAACTGCTTTTCAAAAACTGGCCTGGAAACAAATTTTGAGGAACTTTTATTCAGGGATTCATTTGTTCAAGTGTTTCATTCCTCTTGGGCTCTTAATAGCCTCAAACTGTTCTGCAGTTGCCCTCTGATGTGAAGAGCTGTGATTATCTTCTTCAACAAACAAATCAATCCCCTCTGCCAGGCCAAGACCATGGCTGCACCAACTCATCTCTGCCAGAAAAGAGAGAGTTGCATTCTCATGTTCCTTCCTCCTTCTTACTCCATCTCAGTCTCTTGCTGCCTTGTGCAGGTTCTGGAGCTTGTTAGGCACGTCTGTGAGCTGACACAACGGACCAAAGCAGCAGAAACAAACCACGCAGAAATGTGGATCATTTTCTGTCCCTTCCTGGGTGGCATTGGCTTGCCAGAGTCCAGAAGAGGCTCAGAAGAGAAGATGGGGCAGGAAAGTGAAGAGGAGAAAGGAAGAGTGAGACCTGATAGGCATGCAAGGTGGTGTGTCTGTGACCAGGCTAGTGTTGCAAAACTTGAGACTTGATAACCACATGAAATTTCAGCTGCAGCCTGAATTCGTCTCTCTTTCTTAGTCCCTGTGGCTTTCTCAGGGTAAATTACACCCACAGCTTGTTCCCAACAATGGGAGCAATTAAAAGCACTGTTTACTATCTACAGAGTCCTAAATAGTTGAAATCTAATTACTTCCAAAAGACTTTCCTTCTTTTGTCCCGTGGTGACCCTGACATTAAATAGAATTGTTTTGGCCGTCTTGCCTAGGAATGAACTTTGAGGAAGCTGGAAGCAAAATAATGTCTCTAGAAGGCAATTTCCTGAAGAATCTGTTGCTGCCAGAATATTTGCTAAGGCTGAACTTGCCCACATTTGGTACACGATGTAAAATAATTCTCCATGCACATGTTCTCCCTAATAACAGGCCCTGGAGTCCTTGGCATTCAGCCTACTGTTGTCTATCTTTGTCCTTTAACATCGTGTGCCGTTGCCTGAGCACGCGCCCTGCAGCCTCCCAGCCAGCCCTCGGGAATCCTCTTCTCTGCCCACACCTTCTCCAGCTGCCCACACCAGGCAGCTGCGTGGGTCTGAACTCTGTGAAAGCACACAGAAACAACTCTTCTGCCAGTCCAGTCCCCAGTTATGGGATTGCCGTGCTTCCTGGGCAACAAGTAGCCTGAAGGGCAATTCCTTGGGTGTCAGGGAAAGTCCTCAGACTGATCTGTTGCCTTCAAGATGCGCTCAGTGAGCCCCAGCCACGCACCATTATCTCAGTGGCCATGTTGCTCATGGCCAGTGGTCAATGAGCCCTCCCACCTGCACTGAAACTTGCCTCCCCTTTCTCTTTGACCTGTCCACAGGTAGGTCTGAGCTAACATGGTCCAACAGCCCGAGGTATCTCTGCCTCTGCTGCTGCGTAGCAACCTTTGGACCTTCATGCCAGGAGTGACATAGGTGTATCTGAGCCTGTCATGAGGAAGGGGAAAGGACCAGAAACTTTACTTAAAGTCCCTCCCAGCTTTTCATTATTGTTTTTTGTGTTTCAGAAGATAATTCACTTCAAGTCGTACTGATGGGTTTGCAGAAAATGCAGCTGCTTCTTGCAATTCTTTTGACTTTATATTATCTGCAGGCATCAACTTCTTCCCTCCTATATTTTTCCAGCATTATCTCCATGTAATTTATATTTGTTTAGTTAGACAAATACATACAGTTATATTGTACTGTAGAAAATAGGGGAAACATCTTCACATCTATAGAAAAGAACACTTTTTTTTTCTTCCCAATTTATATATTTCCTACCATTTGCCTCAAATTTGAGATCAAGGTAATTTTTCCTTCTTTTTAAACTTACTGCTTATTTAGGTGTTTTTTTCTCACATTTATTATTTATCTCAGTTTTATTTAGTCATACACAGTATTACATTTTCACAGAAAAGTGTCAATGTTAGTATATTTATGTTCATTTTTTTAGAAACAGCTATATGTTTCAGATGTCTTGGATTAATTAGTGGAAATGCTGCTTCATGCAATGTAAATAATCTGCAACTAATCTGTCAGTGACTTCTGGTAAATCATGTTGTTCATTCATTTCTTTTTAGATCACATTGACAACCATTGGCTATGGAGACAAAACTCCTCTTACTTGGCTTGGAAGGTTGCTTTCTGCGGGATTTGCTCTACTTGGCATTTCTTTCTTTGCACTACCTGCGGTGAGTATGCCTATAAAATTAATAAAAAATAATAGAAACTCCTGTAGGTCCTGCCGCTGTTATGATACTAAAAGCTGAAGGAAGCTGTCTACATGAAGAACAACTGTTTAAGTCTTTTTGCTCTGCAACGACACTAGTGAAGTGCGATCCAAAATCCAAAGAAAAGGTTTGGTGTCCTTGGTTTATTTTTGGGAAGTGTCTCTGGCATGGACAAAACTGGGAAATAACCCTAAATTAGGTTACATAGCATTGTGTAAAGTTGAAAATCCTTCCTTTTATTATGAATTGTGACTTACATTGCTTTTCTTTCAAATTTTTCAAAACAAAACAAAAATAAAAGCAGATTATATGTTTTTCTAACTTAGATTATAGTAAAAAAATAGTATTTCTAATAGCATGTTTTGTATGGTCATACAAGCTACCAACAGAGAGTAGTAGAAGGCCTTAAATCAACTGATGGTTAATGTTGTTGAATGCAAAAGGTGCAACTATAATTTTCTGTGAATAATTGTAAATAACCATTGCAGTTTATTTATGTTTCTATTAATGTTCAAGAGATGAATGGAAATGGGAATTATCTAATGACTAAAATATAGTGTAGCTTCAGAAATAAATTCTCATTTTTTTGAATGAATCTCCTTTTTTTTATTAGTTTTGAATAAAGATGACACAAGAAGTGGCATTTATATTTTTTGTACTGTTTCTAGTGCAATGTCTTTTGATATTTTAATACTCATATACTTTATCTGTAGATCACTATAAAACATGGATGTTATAATCCTTCATTTGTTTTCAACCATAAAGATAAACCAAGATTAAAAATCTGCATTTGTCAACAGAATTAAATCATCTGATGCACTGCATTTATTTCTTATTCTAGCTACAAAGAGTATTTCAGTATCTTTGACATACTATAATGCATTATAATTATAACCCATTACCTGTTTGTGAATCCTTGACATTTATTGACATCTACTGTAATTAATTCCTTTTGTCACCTAGTCACCACTAACAAGAAAGCTAGTCTTAGCAGCACTACAATGAAAAGAGGAATACCCTTACATATTAGAGATGCCACAACATTTGTTCCTCATGTCATATCTATGTACAGATACTAGTTTTCCTCATAAATACTTCAGTACTGAATCTCTCTGTAAAAGAAGAGGTATATGGGAAACTTTTGCACATCTTATAGTATTTTATCCTGATTAAGAATCAAGTGGAAATATTCTTCCTTATAAGGTAGACATGTCCAGCAAAAGTATTACATTCCTTGCAAGTCAAGAAGGAAAACATCCTCAATTTTTGGATCTATTCAATTAGAATCAAATTTATCTTACTCAAAGGTAAAAGGCTAAAAGAGGAGAAGTTTCATAATTAGCTTTTTCATAACAAAAGTTCTAACACGTACTGCAGATGTGGACTTTGATGTCCATATATATCTGGCATACCTGTCAGGTGGTCATTTCCTCATTCTTGACTCAAGTTCCTCTGAATATCCCTGCTTGATTTTATAAATATATATCTATCTCTATGGCCTTGGTAGTTGCAGGAACGTAGTGTAGCACAAAACCAGGCAATGGGTGGTCATTGGTAGCACCACAGATGTTATGTAAGAAATCTCCTGCTTCACCAGGAAAAGGGGCCTTCTACTGTCATACACAGGTCATAAATGTGTTGTCTGAAGCAACCATATGGTGTAGCGTCTTCATAAAATCTTTGTAATTGATTATGTATATTTGTTCAAAGACTACCTACACATTGATAAAATGATATTGCAGGGCATCCTCGGCTCAGGATTTGCATTGAAAGTGCAGGAACAGCATCGTCAGAAACACTTTGAGAAAAGAAGGAATCCAGCTGCAAGTTTAATTCAGGTAAATATGAAATCACCAAAAAGATAATCACAGGTGATTTAAAGTACATATTGAAACAAGTCTTATTATTTCCATTTGGAAAGTTTTGTGGAAATAATATTTAACAGACTGGTTAGTTTAATGAAATTACTGTGTTCAGAGACTGCTATTTGTTGCCGTAATTCTGTACAGAATCACAGATTCATTTAGGTTGGAAAAGACCTTTAAGGTCATCAAGACAAACTGTAACAAGACACACAGCATTTCTGCATGTAGTTTTTGTTCTTCTATCCATGTTAAAGAAACAGAGGCAAGATGCCAAATGCATGCCTGCAGTCAGAAAGCTGTTTGGAAAAAGACAATTGATCCCTAGACAACCCAACTGACAGCACAGCGCTCTTGCCTATATTAAGCTACTTTTCATCTACTACAGGGTTTAGAGTATTTCAGTGAGTGGTATTCTTGGTGAAGATGAAAAGTGTCCTGCCCAGAGAATTGTTTTCACTATGAGTCAATTCAAAAGCTAGAAATGTAGGCACAAACAATTTTAAAATTGTCTGAAATTGTCTGAAGTTGTTCTAATGTGATGGTGCAAATCAGCAAAAAGCAGCATGGTATGTTTTGCATTGGCTTTTTCCTTAACTTTCAGTCCTAGTTAAAACTGATAAAATACTCTAAAGAATCATTTTGCATCAAGCTTTACACTACTTGATGCACTGAAAAAAAAAGGGAGGAAATAATCTCCTAGAGTCCTAGTTTATTTTCCTGCGATGCGAAGTATTCTATGTGTGCCATGTATGCTGGGTTTTATTTTTGAAATAGTACATCCAAATAAAGGAGCTGAGTATGAATATGCTAGAGTTTCATGCTAAGTACAGATAGATGTCAGACTGTCTTTGAAGCATTTTTAAAGTTAATAAATGTTTCCATTATTACTGTTCAATTATTATTAAATTCTAAATATTTCAAATTTAATATTTTTTAGAATAATTAAATTATTCTAAAGAAGTAGAATTATTTCTACTTCTTTTGTATCTAGTTTAAAATGACTGTTTGGCATATTTTCTAACACATATATTCTAATCTACTTCTTTCAAGTTTGGTTGCCAAAGGAAACACATGATAGATTTAGGTTTTGGATATAGGTCTCATTATTATTTTATGACAGCTCAACCAAAATACTAGTAAGACAGCATGCTAAATAGATTAGGAGTAGCCAGCTGCCTGATTCTGTAGATTGACTCTCAGCAAGTAAAATCATTGAAGGAAGTAAAATCAGTGAAAGGAAGACATTTGTTATGGGATCCCATGATGAAGGCTGTTCAGCATTTACATGTTCATTTACAGGTTCAACACTTTCAGTGATCCAGAAATTAACATTAAATTGCTGGTAGAGATATTTTCTGAAGGTACAAGGCCTGGCAGCACAGGAAATATGAGAACAGGCACACAGGAATAAAACTGAGGATGATCTGGGTGACTTTTAGTGTGAAAGGATCACTGCCAAATGTTTTAATACAATAAATACAAAACTTGATCTAGAAACTGAATCCAGATAATTATAAGATGTCTCTATCCCAGTATTAGTGAATCGGGCAAGGATTTGATCAAGCATGAGAAATCCAGAGGAGAAAGTCTGGGAAAGCAGGGTCAAGAGCTTCATACAAGTTCCCAGTATGTTACTGCACCTGGTTTTATTAAAGTCCTTAGATACAGAACCATAGACATAATGAGAAGACTGATCCTACCACTGTGTATGATGATGCTCATACTAATATGCTACATATAAACTCAGCATCTACAATTTGTAAGTGAAATTGAAATATCAGAGAAAGCAAACAAAATATTGGAAAAATGGATCAAGGACTGGAGAAAATTTCGTGTTCATAAATGCAGGATGTGTCTGAACTGCATATCATTGGGTCCTGTAACAGTGCCCAGGTGTTTTTTTAATTGTCTCTAGCTTATCAGGGTAATGTCTATTTTCTAACCAGTTACACTGTAGAATTAGTGTGTGCTAACTCATCAGTTGGCACAGATAGACTATTTGATAAAGCCTTTACCTGTAGATAGCTGTAGAAAAGTGAAATATTTAGTATGGATATACTATTCTCAATTTCTTTAGCTTATAAGAAATATTTAGTGTGAGAATTATTTGAACACAGAAGCTCAGAGAGGAAGTCTTGGAACCTACTGGATCATTTAATGTAGTAGACAGAAACATAACAAGTAACGCTGGCTTTAAGCCAAAACCAAAGAGTTTCAGATTAAAAGTAATGCAGAAATTTTTGACAACAAGAATAATCAACCAATGAAGCAATTTTCAAAGTGAGTAACAGGTTCTCCATCTGTTAATGAAGACTGGATGTGTTTCTGGGAGATACACAGTAGGAAAACACAGGGTATTAGATTCCATAAAAGAATACCTAGATGACATTTAATGGTTGACAGTATACAGGAAGCACAGATGCTCAGCTAGTACAAATTAATATAGTTATGCTGACATCAGGGAACATGTCCTAGCTTGTAGAATCAAGGCTAATCTTACTACCTACATGCATTATAAATCTAAACAATGGACACATTTTCAATGCTATGCTTTGGTTACTCACTTTTGTTAAATGTTTAAAAACACAAAGTGAATAATTTCAGTGTTTCAAACCACAGAGAATGCTTCTCTTTTCTTCTAGTGCTTTTTGCCTAGTTTTCATTATGATTTGCAGAATATATTATGACATATTTTCTTTACGTCAGACTGTAGGTTTGTGTGGGTGTCCCCTACGGACTTGTCACAAATAAATCACTGCAACGCTTTTCTGAGCACCTTTATGTGCTGAATATCTTCTGGTGCTTTCATGGAGCCAGTAAGTCTTATCTTACTGCACAAGGTGTACTGGAATTCACAAAAGTTTTGGTAGGTTTGTACTGATATTTCCTGAATCAGCCTAACCAAGCACATTCTGGTCTGAGCAAAATCCCTTTGCTCCATAGTCAGTGCGGTGGCATTGTCACTTCATTTTTTTGGTTCCTTTGTGCTTTTCTATTGTTTCCCCACACCAGGCTTCCTGGCGGTTTTATTCTACCGACGCCAGCCGAACAAACATGGCAGCCACCTGGCGATATTATGAAAGTATTCTTCCTCCCCTCAGGCATGTATCAGTGCTATGAATGATAAGAGAAAGACACAACTTGTATCAGTTACTAATCTGCTTTTCAATTTTTTGTTTCATCCCCTACTCCCTTTTGCCTTGTTTTTTCTTTTTTTACCGTATATCCTGCACGTAGTGTGTATGGCGTAGTTATGCTGCTGATGAGAAATCAGTTTCCATTGCTACCTGGAAGCCTCATTTGAAGGCCTTGCATACCTGCAGCCCTACAAAGTAGGTACAAATATGGCAGCTGGTGTTGTTTTTGATGTGTGTTCAAGCTTATAGAGAGCTAGTATTTGTCTGTTTCGTCTTGGTTTGTTGTCTTAAGTCTTCTCATTAAAAATTTCAACTAACAAATCAGATCAATATCATGTAGGAGCCTAGGAACAAATACAAATCATTGCTATTTATCTTAGAAATGCACAGGCATTAGAAACATTTTCCCAACAACCCACTCATGCATTATGGTTAATGATTCACCTCATTCCAAATTATCCTCAAGGAGAAAAATATTAAGTTTAATGCAGAGCTTGTTCCTTGGTTCAACGGTATGTTTACGCCTGTGCCTCTGTATAAGGCTGTAGCTGCTGATCTACCTTTCCAAGGAAAGAGTGCCTTGTGCTATTTTGCAGATGAATGCACTGGGGAATTTGTTCCTTTTTGTCATAACTTCTGATATATTTAGTATTTCCTTAGGACAAACTATACATGCATTCATACATACAGACAATGTAAGATGACTCAAAAGACCTGTTGCCACAGTTTGGCAGACAGGAAATATTTGATATCCTAGTTTGGGTGAGAATTCACAGAGCACTGGCAGCCCAAGACTTTTCAATAATTCAGTAAAAGGTTTAGCAGAAGGCAGCAAGTTGACTGATTCTATACGGGGCACAGATCAGGAAGTAAAAAAACACTTGATAAAGATCAAAAAGGAGAGCACTAAGAGCCTTATGGGAAAGCTCTGATAAGCATCTTAACTGTTGTTAATTGCAGACAGTGCAAGAGAATTAGTGGTTTCTCTCAAAGCTGGGTGATGAACATCCACATGACAGTAAAAAGGTAATTGTGTGCCAAAAAGCTCAGCCAAAAAGAAGTTTGGCTGGGTATCCAAAGCTGATCTTTGAATTTCAAAGAGTTGACAAGAACAGAGCCGTAAGTAATCCATTACCATAATTCTAATTCCAAACTGCTCCACACTAAAAGGAGCTTTTAGATTAAAAGTTACATGAAGTATTGATATTTTACATATACAAACAGGCTGAAAGCAACATTAGTATAAATGGATGGATAGAAAATTACATAAATAATGAAGCTGTATCCCACATAAAATATTTTAAAATATGACTGTGCCTCAAAAGTGCATCTACTTCTTATTCTAAATAAGCATATTGCTGTGCTAAAATGGAACCTTTTTATTTACCAGAAATAACTTATCTAATAAGAAACTACAGCTTTCTGTTATATATGTGTCAGCAATGCATTTTGCCTAAGTGCTTTGCCAACTCAGTCTGCAGTGGTATGTACTAAGCATGTTATGCATGTGTTAAAAAACCTGAAAAGTTTCTTTTCCAGAAGCATTGTAGTTATGAGTCTTGCTTGAATGGTTTTGTGGTTGCAATGTAATGTGTGTGTTGTGCACCAATTAACATATCCATTTATGTTTATCATACACATAACATCATCTGTAACTGAGTAATGTGATTACTATCTGCATAACAAGTATGTTTTTCCCTCCCACTCCCTCACCTGAAGAAAAGAACAAGGGGAATCTTCTAGCAGGTTTGTAGTTTCTTTTATTTCTTTTATCTGTGAAATTGCTGTTTCCTAATGGCTTTTAGATGTCTTGGGTTCTGTACAGTATGTTCAATGAACTGCAATCATTGATGGATAATAATCACAAATTGGATCTTTTTAAACTTATATACTGCTGAAATTTGCTTCTTTGTCCCAGTTTTTCTACGGGGAAAATGGCAATTTTTTACACATCTAACACGCTGTAGCTTTGAGAGGCTCAGTTTGAACAGTGACAGAGCAGCCAGTGGATCAGTCTCCCCAGACCCAGCTCCTGGGCAAGGACACATCCCCAGCTTCTGCTGTAAAATCAATGCAGGAATTGCAGTGGAAGTTACAGACATACAGTTTAATTTGGCAACGTGAAGAAGCCCACCAACCCTCCATTGCAGGGAGGACCCTTTGATGGGTCTGGTCGGATGTCACCTTTGCTCTGCAGGAGCATCCTCAAGGCTTCCTCAGTGCCATGTCTCCACATTTTCTAACTTTTCTGTCATCCCCTTTCTAAGAGCATAAGGACATAGGAGGTGGGGGGAAAGCAGCACTGCAGTGTCTCACCTCCTCCTGGCTGCATGGCTTGCACTCCCCCATGGCCCAGTTCAAGTAGAGGAGCCAGACTGGTACCTCTGCTGAAGAAAGCCCCACTGCTGTCAGCCCAGAGTGCAGGTGGGCTTCTACCCAGCCTAGATCCCAGCTGAGCACCGACTGCCTCCAGCTGGCAGCAGCAAGCCTTGGCAGTCGGGGTAAACAAAGCTCTGGAGAGGCATGTCCTAAGGCAGCGGGAGAAAATGCTGGTCTTTGCTGTACTGATGGCCCAAATCCTTAGGGACAGGAAAGGCTTCAGTGGCTATAAATGACTCTATCTCAAAAACTCATTAGAGATTGGAATCAGCGGGTGTTTGGCAGCTGGCACTGTGGTATCAGCATGCTCAGAGAATAGCAGACTTTACCTCACCAAAGAAAACGCTGAAAAGCCAAGGAAAAAAGTGTTGATGACACATCAGCCCCTGAAATACATCCAGCCCCGAGTTGTACTGTGGTTCACAAATGCTTCTGGGTTATTCAGTCTTCATATCAATTACCCATGTCCCATTCCACTTCCCAGACTGCTCCTCTGGCACCTGACTCCGACCTTTTCCTCCAAGCACATGTAACTGCTGTTAGTGTCACTGTAACTCAAGGGGACAGGATTTGCTCTGTCAGTTCTGGGACTTTTTATATACATTACCTCCACAGGTTTGCTAGCAACACATTGATCTCATTAAATTATTACAGTCTGATCCAAACTTCTTGCACTCACCAGCTGTATTTCCTAGTCTTTTGACAGCAGCATTTAAAATTGACTTTTTTAAAGGTGACACAGAAGTTGACAGTAAATGAGTACATCCCTCTAAAACTGGGATTTGTGCAGAGGGGAGAGGTTATTCCCAGTTGTACCAGCAAGTACTAAAAGAGACAGTTTTACTCACAATAACTGGAAACTAGATTAAAAAAAAAAAAAAAAAAAAAAAAAAAAAAAAAAAAAAAAAACCCCACGA